TAGGTAACATCGTCAGTGGGAGGGAGAGTGGGGTTTGCATCAGGATACCGTAATCAAGTACCAAGGGGAAAAGCACAGCCCCGCCAACCCTGGCAGGGGAAGCTACAGTATATAAACAGGCAGCAAACTCCGCACTGTTGATGTTACCTAGTCGGGAAATGAAACGTCTGCAAGCAAACCACCAACCTCGGGGAGCACCAAGGGCTCCACAGTTCAACCCTGAACGACAAAGATTCTCTCCTGTTGGGTGGGGGGGGGTTGCAGAAAACACAACCTCAGTCCCAGTGCAGCTGGCTTAATGTGGGGACAGGAGGGCAACAGGTTGGGGTCCATGTCTTAAATATCCTTCAGCACTTTCTGCAGAGGAAGCAGCCCTCTGGGTGGTGTCCGAGAGCCCCAGTGGGAAGAAATGGGCTTAATATTTTTATCAGTATAAAGTGTGCATCAGTAACTTGGACCTCCTCTTGTTTTTACAGGTGGTGGAATGATGTTGGAAAGGAGGCCTCGGCCACCGGTGCTTCATGGATGGGAAACAGCTGATGCACAGCTCATACAAGTAGGAGGAAATTCTTGGAAAGCGGTCTGGATACAATCTTGGTGACAGGGTCACCTGCTCCCCTTCCTGTATCCGAATATGCCTCTCTCCCCTCTCAGTGCCTTCCACAAGAAAGACACTCAGTGCAAGCAAAACCTGTGCCTAGTGTTGTATTAGCTTTTGGTATCTAAACAGTAGCATTTGTTTCTTTTAGAGTTGTGTAACCTTGGAGGAGGTGGCTGTGCATTTCTCCGAGGAGGAGTGGGCGCTGCTGGATCCTGACCAGAAAGCTCTGCACAGAGAGGTCATGGAGCAGATTGGCAGGATTGTGGCCTCTCTTGGTAAGGATCCATCTTATAATAAACACCGAGTCTGTTTTTAAGGGATTTTTTAAACATTTGCAATATTTCAGGGGCAGAGGTCAGCCAACTTTGTCTGATTTCAAAAGGTAGCCGCATTCATACAACCTATAACAAACTACACTGGGGGACTTTGAGCCAGTCTCTGTCTCTCAGTCCAACCTCCCTCACAGGTGGTTCTGGGGGAAAATGGGAGGAAAAAGTGCTGTGTACACTATCTTGAGCAAAAGGTGGGATATAAATCAAACCAATAAATGTACAGGTAGTCTCACTTAACAACCATTCATTTAGTGACCGTTCAGAGTTACAACAATGCTTAACAAAGGGACTTACAACTGTGGCAGCATCCCCGCGGTCACATGATCACAATCTGGCACTTGGCAACCAGCTCACACTTAACAACAGTTGCAGCGCCCCAGGGTCACATGATTGCCATTTGTGACCTTCCCAGCCAGCTTCAGGCAAGCAAAATCAATGGGGAACCACGTGATTTGCTTAACGGCCGCAATGATTCGCTTAATATCTGTTGCAAAAAAGGTCATAAAATCGGGTATGACATGCTTAACAACTGCCCTGCTTAACAACGAATTTTCCAGTCCCTATTGTGGCATTAAGAGAGGACTACCTGTATCCCAAAGGTCCCTTGAGGAATGATATCAACTGGGAAACATAGGGAGGTGAGTTATGTACAGTCCAAGGGCCATAAATGGTGTGTTTCCTGAGTAACATTTTTTACTCTGAAAGCTTTCTGAGGTTGGAAATGGTAGAATTAGCCCTGAAACACACATTAGAAAAAAATGACACCCCTCCTCAAGCTCCTGTTCCTCCAAATCTTAAGTCATACTAAAAAGGATTATAATTTCTGAAAAACGTTACAGTCTGCTTGTAATGTTAGATCAGATTTTGCCAGTTTGGTATCTCCCATCATTCCCCAACCATTGCTATTGCATTTCCCTGCACAGCTCTCTAAGGTAGGACAGGTGAGATGGCATGAGTGATTACATATTGAGATGGGAGTTGAATCCCCCATAAGCCAATCCAGTACCCCTACTCATTTCAGTTTTCTGTGAATGTCTGTGAAAGGTGTGATAAGATCATCCCACCTCCCGTCTTAAATCTTTTCCATTCTTCCATTCACCTAAATCACTAATTTGGACTATGTAGTGAGAGGAGACTCATTTACAGACTTAAGCTGCAACCAATTTCTAGCCTTTATTTCAGAAGATGATGAAAGGAAGGCCAAAAATGATGATCTGTCAATGCAAGAAAGAACTATTATAAGAAGGAAACATTGGATTTCTGGAAAGCGCTCCAATCAGAGGGCAAAGTCGAATGGAGATCAGGTGTCACACCCAGGAGACAGACCCCATAAATGTTTGGAGTGCGGGAAGTGCTTCCACAGGAAGAAGAACCTAGCGATTCATGAAAAAATTCACATAAGGGAGAAACTATATAAATGCTCAGATTGTGGAAAATCTTTCAGCTCGAGCTCAGACATCACTAGGCACCAAAGGACACACACGGGGGAGAGACCATATACCTGCCTGGAGTGTGGGAAATGCTTCCTTTACAGTTCGGACCTGATTCGACATGGAAGGAAACACACAGGAGAGAAACCCTACAAGTGTTCAGAGTGTGGAAAATGCTTCCTTCGTAACACAAAGCTGAGTATCCACCAAAGGACTCACACAGGGGAGAGGCCTTATAAATGCCTGGAGTGTGGCAAGTGTTTTACTGAGAGTGCTCAGTTAAGCAGGCATCAGATCACTCACACTGGGGAGAGACCCTACAAATGCCTGGAGTGTGAAAAGTGCTTCAACCGGAAGGAAAACTTGGCTCTACATCAACGCACTCACACTGGGGAGAAACCCTACAAATGCTCAGAATGTGGGAAAAGCTTCAGTTGGAATTCACAGCTAAGTAGACATCAAATCTCTCACACGGGAGAGAGGCCATATATGTGCCTGGAATGCGGGAAATCCTTTATCTGCAGCTCTGAGCTCCTGATCCATGAAAGAAACCACACGGGAGAGAAGCCCTATAAATGTTTGGAGTGTGGAAAGTGCTTTGTTTGTAATACACAGCTCAGTATCCATCAGAGAACTCACACCGGGGAGAGACCCTATAAATGCCTGGAGTGCGAAAAATGCTTCAATCGGAAAGAGAATCTCGCTATACATCAACGCACTCACACAGGGGAAAAACCCTATAGATGCTCGGAATGTGGGAAGTGCTTCAGCTGGAATTCACAACTATGTAGACATCAACGAACTCACACTGGTGAAAGGCCATATGCGTGTCTGGAGTGTGGGAAACGCTTCCTTTGCAGTTCGGACCTGATTAGACATGGAAGGAACCATACTGGAGAGAAACCTTACAAATGCTTGGAGTGTGGAAAGTGTTATATTTGTAATACCCAGCTGAGTATACACCAAAGAACTCACACAGGGGAGAAACCCTATAAATGCTTGGAGTGTGGAAAGAGCTTCAGCGAGAACAGCTCCCTCACTTCCCATTACAGAATCCATACGGGGGAGAAACCCTATAAATGCTTGGAGTGTGGAAAATGCTTTGCTCGTGGTTCTGACCTTATTAAACATGAAAAAATTCACGCAGGGAAGAAATCGTATAGATCCATGGAATGCGGAAAGAGCTTTAACTAGAAGACAAACGTTTCTTCTCGCGTTAAGAACTCAGGATGGGAAGAAGCCGGACACAGCGCGGGATTGTTGAAAAGGTTCTCTTCCCAGCTAGCAGTTTTAAAATGTAATGAAATATGCAAACAAATGTTTTTGAGTTGCAAATCATTTAATGAAAGTTTCTGTCACAGCACGAAGAGAGGAGAGAATGTATTGGAATACAGAAAAGGTTTCCCTCTTAGGGGGTTGTTTTAAAGCTTATTAGAATTCATGAAGTAATTCCCCCCACCCCAATTGTAGGAGAAAAAAGAAATTTCCTATCAGTCTACTCCCCCCCCCGCCCATTTCTGACTGATATACTCAGCTAAATGTAGAAGTACATTTGTTGTGTCCCATTTGATTCATGGTTTGTACTAACAAGAATGATTAGGTGAATATCTCTGAAGCTTGCTTTCCCTTTCCCTGACCAGTATTTCAATAAAACACAGATGATGTCCATGTTAAAACCATGCTTTTTTTAAACCATTGGAAAGTGTGCAAAATCACACACAAGCTTCTGGGTCCCTCAGGAGGTGAGAGGATGGAAAATCAAGAGGTATGAAGAAGCCGGGATTGAGAGCTGTAGCCTATTTTAACTAGGTTGCCATCATAAATTCAAGCCAGGTTGATGTGGTGGTTAAAGCACCAGGCTAGAAATCAGGAGAATGTGAGTTTTAGTCCTGCTTTAGGCACAAAGCCAGCTGGGTGATCTTGGGCCAGTCCCTCTCTCTAATCCAGTGTTTCTGAACCTTGGCAACTTTAAGATGAGTGGACTTCATCTTAAAGTTGCCAAGATTGAAAAGCACTGTGTCTAATCCCTAAAAAGGAGAAGACAAGGACAAAACACTTTCAAAAATGTTGCCAAGAAAAGGGCAGAGACTCATCCAGGGAGGTGCCAGGAGTCACAAATAACTTGAAGGTGCACACATGCACACACACAGTTATAAGCAGTGTGGAAGAGTTAGTATGCTAACTGGGTCCTGTTAGGTCCAGAAGTTGGTTTAGATTACACAAAGCCCACCCCCTCAACCCCTTCCTTCTGTTGGGAGGAAGAAACTGGATATTAGAAATGGGTTCATCGTTTTTGCCAGCAGAGAACACAGCTGAGATTCCAAACCTTCCAGTCTCTCTCTTTTAGGATAATTTCACAAATAATATTTAACACTTTCTCTTTGCTGGGCTTTTACTAAAAGCTAATTTGTTCCCCTCCACACCATCCACTGCTTTTCTGTTTTACTCGGTCTCATCTCAGCTACAAAATTTGAGTTATGAGTCCTTGATACCCATTGGTTCCTTCTCTAAAAGGGTAGGGGTCAGATACTGATGAGAATTTCAGTCTCTGGTGGCTGATTTTAAAAACCACTGTCTTTTTATGTAGAGGATCCTGTTAAGCGAAAGGAAAGGAAATGCACAAAGCAGCCAAGAGTCTCTTGGTGAACCAGTACTTTCAACACCGTTTTCAGTATGGATTGCCACAAAGGGACGCCATTTGCTCACTAAATGTAAAGACAGGGGTTGTCGTGGCTCTTACTAGGAGAAAATATTAATCCCCTGCTCTTTCATGACCACCTCTTATAATTAGTCTCTTGTCTCTTTCCTCTTTCATTTCTTTATTTTTAGAAATGTGCAACTTTCTTATAAGTCCAAGTTAAGCTGTGAGTTGATTAAACCACTGGACCTTTTCGCGTCCCTGTCCAGATAATCCAGCCATGTAAAACTGGTGCCCAGCAGAAGACCAGGGTCAAACTATTTGTTTCATAATAAGAGACTTTACCCTAACAGCATAATCTATTAGACTTTTTACTTGACTTGGCTATATACTTTTACAAAGTGATCTTAAATGGTTAGCAGCGAATTTAAAAAGTATTTTATATCATAAAGGAAAAAAACCCCACATATTCAAAATCTATTGCATGTAGTGGTAGTTTGGAGATATGATCTCCAGAACTTTACACTAAATGTAAAGACAGGGGTGCTGTTAGTTTAAAATTCTGGAAGAAAGAGGAAACAAGTTTTTTATTTAATGTAAGTAAAAATTGCTCAAGAAAGTACCTGTTAAGTGTGAAATAATAGAAACCAGGCTTAACAGGACTATTATAAAATAATATACATTATATATTACCAGTTTCAGCTGGGTTTCAGTATGGAGATAGCATTGGACGCGCTTGTTGATGACCTGCAGCAGAGCTGGGATGGGGGTGGTGCATCCATCTTGGTGCTCCTTGATCTCTCAGCAGGTTTTGATACTGTCAACCATGGTATATTGAAGGCCAAAGGAGAAGGGGACGGCAGAGGATGAGACGGTTAGATGGCATCACTGAAGCAATGTCCATGAAACTGAGCCAACTCAGGGAGGCAGTGAAGGACAGGAAGGCCTGGCGCGATACAGTTCATGGGGTCACGAAGAGTCAGACACGGCTTAACGACTGAACAACAACAACAACCATGGTATGGGGGGAGGGGAATCAGAGGTGGTCCTCTTTTCTCTGTGGTCAGTTTCAGTCAGTACTGACAGAGAGGTCACACCACAGCCCCTTCCTTGTGGATGTCGCAGGGCTCGATTCTCTCTCCCCGCATTTAGCATCTACATGAAACTGCCGAGTAGCGTCATCTGTTGGTTTGGGGGCATGTATCATCAGTATACTGATGATACCCAATTATGCATCTTGATCCCAAGCCAACCAAGTGACACTATCTCCAAGTGACGATATCTCCAGCCAGGATATATATATCTATTCTGTCTTTATTTTCTACAACTCAAGGCCCAACACCTGGAGGCTGGGCATTTGGTATTTTTTCCCCCCACCTTCCTCTTCAACCATCTAGCCCAGCATTTCAGAGGTGTGGACTTCAACTCCCAGAATTCCCCAGCAAGCTCTAATAAAAAAAATCAAAACCTGATTTAAAGATGTTCAGTTTGTAATTCCCATTAGCAGAAGCCATGAAATGAACTCAACCGATGGATTTAACTTTGGCACTTAGCTGCACACATTAACCAAACATTGGAGTTTAGCAGCTAGCCAAGGCTATCTTGAAACTAAGCAATGCGTAGAATTTGAAAGGAGCCTTTGGAGCAGTGTTTCTCAACCTTGGGAATTTTAAGACACGTGAACTTCAACTCCCAGAATTCCCCAGCCAGCCATGCTCTGGTGCTCTGATGCTGGGAAAGGTGGAAGGAAAGAGCGCGTTGCTGGCTGGGGAATTCTGGGAGTTGAAGTCCACACATCTTAAAGTTGCCAAGGTTGAGAAACACTGATCTACAGGGTCGCTAGGAGTCAACATTGACTTGATGGCTCATGATTTTTTTTATTAGAGCTTGCTGGGGAATTCTGGGAGTTGAAGTCCACACATCTTAAAGTTGCCAAGGTTGAGAAACACTGATCTACAGGGTCGCTAGGAGTCAACATTGACTTGATGGCTCATGATTTTTTTTATTAGAGCTTGCTGGGGAATTCTGGGAGTTGAAGTCCACACATCTTAAAGTTGCCAAGGTTGAGAAACACTGATCTACAGGGTCGCTAGGAGTCAACATTGACTTGATGGCTCATCATCAATCCATCTTACAAGACTCATAGACCAAATCACTCGAGACACAGGCTCAAATGATCCTACTTCGGGCACATGCTCCGAGGAACCAGCTTTCTGGAGAAGGCTCTGATGCTGGGAAAGGTGGAAGGAAAGAGGAGAGGAGGACCAGCAGCAAGGAAGGTGGACTCAGCTACAGTGGCGATGGGGGCACCGTTGGAAGACCTGAAGGACCAAGTTAGGGACAGATCATCATGGAGAAAATCTATCTGTGTAGTCACTAGGAGTCAACAACAACTTGACAGCACATAATCATAACACAAGCTCCACCCTTTGCATGTGTGCAATGTTACTTTGCACATGAAAGAGGCCACGTTGGCATTGTGATCCATGTTTTGCCATCTGCCCCCACTCCAAACACCTACATCTCAGGAACCACCAGGCAGGGCCAGTGCCAAATATTTTGGAGATGCCTTTTCCACCTGCAACCCCCCCTCTCCCCCCATGGCCCAGTTTAGGTTGGCAGGAATAATATTCAACCACTGAAGACCGTGCACTCCTCTCGTGGTCATCAGTCCCCCCAAGTCAGACGTGCTCAGATCTAAGACAACCTTAACCTGGTGCCATAGTAAAACGGTGCAGGAACGGTGCTGAAACCAGGGTGCTTTGCCAGCCTTTCCTCCACCGGCCCTGGCACCAGAAAGGAATGCTACTTTGGAGCCCTTATGCTGGTCTTTGATCGTAATAAAGATTTGATTTGATTACTTTGGAGCCCCTCTGCTGTGCTCTGAAAAATCAAAGGAAGAGCTTATAAGCAATTGTGGGGGGAGGGGGCAGGGGAGCACAATGGAGAAGAACCCATCTAGGGAATTCCCCCACCACCAGAGGAGACTAGCTGGCGTCCCTCTTCTCCCCAGTAGTGTTTCTCAACTTTAGCAACTTTAAGATAGGTGGACTTCAACTCCCAGAACTCCCCAGCCAGCATATATATATCTATCCTGTCTTTATTTTCTACAACTCAAGGCAGTGTACATAATACTCCCATCTCCCTATTTCCCCCACCACAACAACCCTGTGAGGTGGGCTGGGCTGAGAGCGAGCGGCTGGCTCAGTCATCAGTTGGCTACCCTGCCTAAGGGTGGACTCGAATTCACGGCCTCCCGCTTTCTAGTCCAGCACCTTCTACACTCCACCATAGGGGTTCCATCACTCTTAAAAATGTCCTGTGTGGACAGTGGTTGTAGTTCATTGTTGAATTTTATTTTACTTTGTCCTGCCCCTTAACCGCTTCACCACACCGGCTCTTCCCAGTCCTGTCCCACCTGGGAGCAACCCCATCCCACCCTCACAGGTTTGTCTCTGGGCCCTAGGAGGTCCGTGGCCTAGTCCGCATTGAGCACTGGTGGGGGGGACTCTGAACCTCCCCATTTTGGGGCCAGGGCATCAAATCCATCACAATGCAGTACAACCCCGAGAGCACGTAAACCCACCCGCTCTCCCCACAACGTTCCGTCTCGACATTCAGAGCCATTTCTTACATGCACACGGTGGTTTGGAACAGGAATTCTTCTGACCACAGCCACAGTACAGGCTTGAGAGACTTGAGTGCAATTGTCTCTGCTTTGCTTTCCCAACGTTGTGCAAACGCTGCGAGAGGCAGAACGCTTCCACGCATTACTGGCATGCCCACACGAGGTCCACGAGGGCCGCCTGCACCGCCCCGTCCTCTGCCCCCTGTTGCTGACTGGGGGGGCTAATCTGTGAGAACAGTCCTGTGGGGGCCACAGTCTCTGTACTCAGAGTCATGCCATGTCCCTTGCTCTCACAGATGTTGTGCAGCACGGCGCACGAGGCAATTACACACACCACATTCTCCTCAGCCACCGGCAGTCTTCCACTCAGGCAGCGCCATCGTGCTCTAAGTCGCCCAAAAGCCCCCTCGACCACCTTCCGGCACTGGTTAAATACATGGTTGTAGGCCGCTTCTCTGGGGCCCGGGGCCCCCGCGAATGGTTTCATCAGCCACCGCCGGGGAGGGTAGGCGTTGCCCCCAAGGATGACCGGGGGGATAGTGATGCCCCTGGAGGTGACTGTGGGGTTCCCAGGCACAAACTGACCAGCGTCCATCGCACTGCAGAGAGCGGAGTTCTCGAAGGCGAAGGTGTTGGGGTGGTTTCCGCTGTAGCCCACTTCGATGTTGATGAAACGCCCTGTGTGGTCCACTGCGCCTTGGAGCAGCATTGAGGAGCAGCTTTTTCTGAAGTCCTCCTCTCGCTGGGTGAATGGTGGACCTATGGCGATATAGCATCCGTCAACCGCTCCGACACAGTGGGGGAAACCCATGCCTTGGAAGCCATCCATGATCTGTGAAAAAGCAAAACAGGGAGATGCACTGATTGCATTCAGATTCTGCCTTTTCACTCACGAGCTCATAGCAGCTCCTTCCTCCCATTCCCCCCCTCCAACAATCCTGCAAATCAGATTGGGCTGAGAGGGAGGGACTGGCCCGGAATTCCCCAGGGAGCTTTTGTGGCTGAGGAACCTGGGTATCCCCCCTCCTAGCCCAGCCTCTTCATCACTACATCTCATGGGTTCTTGGGATGAGAGGGGGGACTGTCCAAAGTCACCCAGGAACCTTTTGTGGCTCAGGAGGGACTAGGACCTGGGTCTCTCTGCTCCTAGTCCAACACCTTCACCACTACCCTACTTTTGTTTCAGGGAACCCAAGGCTTGAGTACTGCTAGGTAGCACTGGGCTTCTGAGAACAGTTTGGGCAGGGGAAAGTAGCTGTATCTGTAAGTAACCCGGTCACTCTGCACATGGGGTAGATCACAGGGGCAGGCACAGACAGGCACTCCAGTATGCTAGTGATGGGAGATGTAGGAAGACAAGGGATGGGCAACTGCTGTTAAGGACTCTTACCCAAGCAGCTCCAAGGCCATATTAACCAGGTACAGTATCAGAGGCAAGAAAGGACCTGTACGTCTTTGACTTACAACCACAACTGGGACTGGAAAATTCATCATTAAGTGGTGTGGTCATTAAGTGAGGCACACCAAAAAAACACCTTTTTTTGCTGCAGTCATTAAGAAAATCACCATGGTCATTAAATGAGACATTACATGACTGTGACTCATGACCTTCCCTGCCGGCTTCCCCATTGACTTTGCATGTTGGAAGCTGGCTGGGAAGACTGCAAATGGTGATCACGTGACCGCAGGAGACTGCAACCATTGTAAATGTGCGATGGTTGCCAAGCACCCAAATCATGATTGTGTGACTGTGGGGACACTGCAACAGTCATTAAGTGCAAGGGCCAGTCGTAAATCACTTTTTTCAGCACTGTCTTAACTTTGAACAGTTGCTAAACGAATGGTCATAAGTCGAGAACTACCTGTACTCACAAGTGCTAAAATGGGCACAGCACTTTTCTACCCAAAGGACATTTGGAGAAGCCATCTGGAGGGGAAACCCACATATTGCCACTTCTCATGCCGCATGCCATGAAGGGAAGTGTAATGGTTTGTGAGCATGTCCTTGAGAGACAGGAAGAGGAGCAGCAGCAGCAGTCTAAGCAGTAGTCAGAAAAGAGGCGGCTAAGCCCGCAGAAGGAATGGGGGTGTGACAAACATCTCAGAAGAGACCCTCCCTAGTTTCTTGAACAGTAAAAGCGAGAGGGGAGAGATGTACTTTCAGACTTGCAAGATTCGATTATGGTAACCTTACAATAAAGGTAGCATTAGTACTCATGGTTTGTGCTTCTTGTCTGGACTACCTTGAAGGGCTGACAGGAAGCTAGTTCCCATCCCCCCAAAGAGTTTCACTACTGCCTGGAAAGCTGCTTGCTTTACATATCATACTTTTCAGCACATCACCTTCTACACAATGCCTGTATCAACACCGGAGACAGCTGCAATCTCACCAGGACGGTGTTTGCGATGAGGACTCCACTGGTAACAGCCCAGGCCTCCTAGAGTCCACATAAAGTCCCTTCCTTTCACCTACACATGCTAACTTTCCTGGGTCTCAAGATTACTCAAAGGCCTGGATTCTTCAAGAGTTGCCTACGTATCTTCCCAACAGACAGGCTAAGCAGTGGTTGCTTGGTGTGGATATCATGCCAGAGAAGCAGTAAACAGGCCCTGAAGGAACAGTGGTATATACCTTTTGATGATCTCCAAGGCAGACCTCGCTCTTCAAGAGAACGTGTTCGATCGCAAGGCAAACCTCTACCACAATACTCCCCACTGTGGTTCTTCCTAAGCCAAACCGGTGAGCGACCTCCCTGTAGGACGCCTGTGTTGCGAGCCACCAGACGGTGATCCCCACCCTCTCCTCCACTGGAACCGCCTGGCGTAGCGACGTGTTTTGCCTCTGCAGCTGTGGCCGCAGCCGGTCGGCAATCTCAAAAAGGGTGCCCCGCGTCATCCGAAAATTAGCAATCCACTGCTCGTCATCCCAAACAGTCAGTTCCAACTCAGTCCACCACCGAGTACGGGAGGGATAAACCCACCATCGGCGCTGTCGTGGGACCATCTCCCACAGTGCACTGAAAAGGAGTCTACTCTCAATATCTCCTCGAAGGAGTAGGGCGCGGATCCTCTGCGAGGTCCTTGCTCGGCTGGCCAAACGCCACGCCGTGATGTCCGCTATTAGATCAGCTTCCTCCTCGTTTGCGTTAGCGATGGCGCAGATGGCACTGAGTCCCTTCACCACTACACCACTCACTGACACCAGCAGGCTGCAGAGGGAGGCTGTTGCAGAGCAAGGGAGGGTGCATTGCAATTCATCAGCCAGGCCATTCAGCGCCCGGTCCAAAACTCTCATGAAGTTCTGAGTTGCCTCGCACAATGCAGCAATCTGCTGGCGCATTTCCAGACGGCCTTGGGCATCCTCCCGCAGCTCTTGGATGAATGCTGTGGTACACTGATGTTCTGCATCCAACTCGCGGAGAAGTTCCTGCCGATTCTTCTCTGAATGCGTGATAATTTTCTCCACCGCACGTTCTGTGCGGGGGATTCTCTTTCTCTTTGTCTGCCGCAAAGCCAGCCTAGATGGTGGAGACAGAGGGGAGAACCCAGGAACAGCACGCAGCCCTGCAAGAAAGAAGTTGGAAACACGAGCGTAAGCGGAGGCAGAATCAAAGATTCTGTAAAGTGGAGACTGAGTGGGAATGGTGGCTTCCAGGATGGCACAGACGCCTTGTAGAGAAATTTAAAAAATCAGGGATGCCAGAGAACATCAGCCATTGTAAGCTTCATCTGGTCTTTCCAGATCATTCAGCAGAGTTGTTCCCACCTCCCAGGAAACCCAGGATTATAGTGGTGTCTCCCACACACTTTCACATTATGCATTCACATTGTGAAACATGTAAAGAGGCTGGGGTGGGAGAAGTAGGCCTGCCTTTGCAAGCCATGATACATTCCAAAGGAAAGCAGATCCAGGCAGCACATCCAGAGATATGGTCGCTTATCTTTTTGGCCTCAAGGGATGGCTTGAGGGCATGAGGCTTCGTACCTCGGCCCCAGCTGTCTACTCTTCCCCCTGGCACACGTCACACCTCCAAGTCCTCACCATCTGCTCCCAGGCAAGCAAAGATAGCTGCCGCAGTGAGCCGGGCACCACTGGTGTTCTCTGAGTGCTCCACACCCTCTTCCAGGGTTGGATTTGCACTGCAGGACAGGATCTTACCTCCAACGCTGTTGTGGATCATACGCTGTGCATGGTGAAAATCTTCTTGCCGTTGCCAGGCTGTTCCCTCCGCAGCCTTCGTCAACCGCCCTGGCACATCCCTCAGCCTTTTCTTCTTGCAGAACCTGCTCTCCAGTTCTGTGAAAGTTGGGGAGGGGGGTCAGGGTTGCATGAGGCATTGTGGTTTTGCACAGTCACAAACACTCATGTACAAGAAAGCCAAGCTTTCCCCCCACCAGTCCTTCTAACCCCCCCTGCAAAATCCACGGTCCCATGCCAGCTTTTTTCCCTTTGCTCTTTTCTTAAACCAGCAAGCACATTTCCAATCCAATCTGTCACTCTTTTAGCTTGCTGTGACTGGGGAGGTGGGGAAATAGGGTGGAAGAATCAACGATATGAGGCACAAGCGCTTTGCAACGCATCATCTTCCTATTTGTTTTCTTTTCTTTTCAATTAACGAAGGCCCAAACTTAATAGTAACAATCATCACTGTAGCGCCTAGTGCCACCAAAGCAAGGATGGCATGCTCAAAATGCCTTTGTCACTCTGCCAACAAAGGCAACAAAAGTCATTGCAAACAACCCCAGAAAGTGGAACTGCGTGTCTCTGGACCCCAAAGCACTGACTGTTCAGGGTGGCAGCCACTATGTTTGTGCACAAGCCAAGTTACAAACAATAAAAGAGACACCGACAGTACAAAACACGGGCACGCAAAACCCCTTGTCGGCTGAAGCAACAGAAACCAGTCGTGCAGCGACTGCTGACAGAGCCAGCAGCGTAGAACCAGCAGAACCCGGTTCTCCTTTCTAGCTTAAATTGATATGTCAGAAGGGTCAGAATCAGCGTTCTTTCAAAACAGCGCTAAACCCATGGAGAGGAGGAGCCCACCTAAGGTCCTTCTCACAGCTCTCATATACCTTCCCCAAGATCAGCTCCACATTCTTTTACAATTGGACATATTCATCCCACAACTGCAGGGACACATCATTTAGAGGTTCTTTTGGTGCTTCTGCTTGTTGGAGATGAGATTAAAGGAAACCTGTTTCTGGGCTACTGCTAGTCCTTCAGAAAACCAAACAAAGCTTTTACTGGGTGATTTATATTGTGTTAACCATGGTTCCTGATATTCATTTTTAGCTCAAGTTCAGTAGTGATTCTTAACCATTACTATTAGGTATTTTAAAGGAATAAAAGAAAAAATAATCCAAATACAAGTTTAAAACTTAATTTAAAAAATATACAGATTTTAAAAAAATTATAAAACAGTACACATGTGGGAAGATAGCCAACAAATCTAAAATATAATATGATTAACATATTTTAGTGCAACATAAAAAGACATTTCATATCCATTTTCTAATTAAAACATGCCTCTGTTAAACTTAGTCAACACAAGTGAAGTAATTAAAGTCATTTAAAAAGTCATTTTTTGTTCTCTCTTGTGCTTGTTTATATATTTTCCTTAAAGTGTCCAATTTAAAAAAAAAAAAACCCAAACAAACCAATTTGAAGAATGTGGAAACCTTCTGATGTCCATTATGATCATTCAACAATGCATGTTGAAAGTAAAAATTGGATAATCCACACTAGTAGCAATGTCTTTACCATTATACCATGCAAGGCTGATGGGAATTATGATGATTCCCAGTGCTGAAAGGACTCGCCCTTGACATATTAATTCCTTTCCTCAATTAGAAGACGATTTTATCAACTGGTAGCCGTAGCACATGGTAATAGCCAGCCTCCCTGATTAGGGCTGAGATGGGATTCTCCAGGAGTTCAGCTGAAGTCAAATTGAGGGAGACATATTTTTTATTCAATGGTAAACCACGGTTATTCATTAAGGGACTGTAGAGAGGAAGGGAAATGGCCTTGACAGGCACATGCTAGAACTTAGGCAAAAGGCACTGACATTTTTTAAAGTCCAGAATGTCCAGATAATGTTTGGAAGCTGATCATGCAGACGCCTCCCTGATTCGCTGGAGCATAAGAAGGGAAGGAGGTCCGGCACAATCAGACTTGCAAGATTCTGCCATTAAGCCAATCTCAATAAAAGTAGTTTCAGCCTTCCTCTGAAGTGGATTTCCTGGTTTGGCCTTCCTAATGAGGCTGACAGGCTCATGAACAAGTTTGCCAAACAATTAATCAGCATTATTTATTTATTATATTGATTGGCAGAACCACCCATCTCCCCACTGTGATTCAGGGTGATGAACATCAGATTAAATCTAAGAGATGTCAAGAGAAGAAGCGGATAGGATGAGAACTGAAAAGAAAAGTCTCCCCCAAGTCAAATCTTTTTTCCAGATCTTTTTCTGCTGGTCTCCCATCTATGTACTAATTATTTTTGACCCTGTTTAGCTTATTGAAATCAGCCAAAGTCAACTAGGTGCTACCACTTGCTACTGAAACATTGACAATGTGTACAAATATCCTACGAGAATCAATTGGCATTTATTTCAAGAGCAAGAAGCTGCCTTACCAAGAGAGGCCAAAATCCCATCAATCTCCTCCATGACTTCTCTGTGCAGAGCTTTCTGGTCAGGATCCAGCAGCACCCATTCGTCCTCGGTGAAATGCACAGCCACCTCCTCCAAGGTGAAGAGCCTCTGAAAGAAGAAGGATACATTTCCTAACACAGAGATTTCTATCCTCTGGATGCAAAGCAAGCTGGGTTTTATTCTCAGGGTTTCTCTCTCTCGTGAATGACCGTCACAGCCTTGCTTGCAGGGAAGTGTGCCAGAAGCAAAGAGAATGGAGAGAGACTTGCTCAGTCCCCAGGAGGCCAACAGATGATATGAGCACCAAGATGGTCTATGGCAGTGTTTCTCAACCTTGACGACTTGAAGATGTGTGGACTTCAACTCCCAGCATGGCTGGCTGGGGAATTCTGGGAGTTGAAG